AAAATGTTTTCCGTCCACACGAAAACGAAAAGCCGGCGTTTTCAAATTTCTCCGGTTTGAAGAGCGTTTTGGTAAAGCTCCATTTTCACGACGGATTAGCGTGGACGATAGGCCTAACCGTAAAAATAAAGCTGCATTTTCAGATTTCTTCAGCGTAGTGTGGACCCTCCCTTAACCTAATGATTTTTTTGGTTTCCTTTGTGACTAGACTCTCCTGTTTTCTCCCCTGTTGATGGTGGTTCATGGATGATGGCTCGGTTGGTTGTACAGGCCACGGATTACGCGCATAGCCAAATGATAGAACATCTTCTAAAGGTTAGAACTCCATTCTGGACAGTAAAACCTTGGCACCACATTGTTCTTGTGTTACTTTTTCTGATGAAGCACGAGCTTTGATCAACTTGATATTTGGGCAGAGTCAACGGAGGCTACCCCGGCCCCTCCAGCTGAAGCAGTATCGTTCCCAGATTATATTATTATGTGCTCTTACGACTCACGGTCAACGATTCGTCCTTTACCTTGTCCTTCTTTTCCTGCTCCTTTTTCTCCTCCTCCTTCTCTTCCTCGTCTTTCTCCTCATCATGGATTGGAAAACTAAAATACAAAGATAAGAAGCAGTTAGACGAGACACCCCAAGCAAGTCCCTGATTTGATTTAAAACCTCTTCGAATTTATTTTACTGCCTTATGTTCTTTGATCTTTAGGTCCATCTTCTTGCGGAACCTTTCTGTGTAGTGATGCAACGTCAGCTCTCCTCCCAGCACCCGCTGAATGAGCTCCTCAAGTACCACTGTAGGGGCGTCATGGCTACAAACACGCTTGGCTCGCCATCACTAATTACTCCAGATGGGTACATGGACCAGCTGACTGCTATGGGATATAAAGGGACCTTGTTATTATTGGAGCGTGGTTACAAGACGCTGAGTTGGAAAGATACAGATTTCCATCTTGATATTATGGTAGCTTGGCTTGTTAATGATGTAGCTTTATACGGGCTCACTTAATGTCTAAAATTTATTGAGGAGCAACAGCCGATCAAAGATCCCACACCATTCTTTGTATTACTGTAGTCGTGAGTGTTGAACTTTGGGGGTCAAATTTTTACCGTCTCTACCGAGGAGAATAAGAGAGCGCACGAAAACTCAAAGAAGTTCAGTTAGTTGAGCTCCTCACATCACTTTCAAGAAGGCAAAACAAGCTTTTTTTCCAGTTCCTCCCCCTAGTCAATTTTACTTCTCCGAGCCGTCAACTCAACTGCAATCTCATTCAAATATGAATAAAGAAGAGGGTTGATTGGGTTGGTTAATTAATAACAATTTAGTTAAGTGCCTCAAGAGTTAAGATTGCATCAGATGTACACAACTATATCTTTTTTTTAATAACTTTATGGATGCAGCTCGAGTTTTACTCAGATTCCCCCGAGCGCAGAAAATGCAATCTGCAGTCGGTCAGTTAATGTTCCCTTTTCGTTTCCAGAAACGTGGTCTCGACAACAAAGAGAAGCTTCCCTATTTCCCATATCGTGATGACAGCAATTTGTTACTTATGACAATCAAGAGGATGGTAGTGGATTACATTTACGTGTAAGTAGCAGTCAGTCAGTTAGTCAATCGATCGATCGATCGATCAATCAATCAATCAGCCAGTCCTCAGTCATTCAGTTAACGAGTCATTCAATCAATGGGTCAATCAATTAATCAATTAATCAATCAATGAGTCAATCAACCAATCACCTATTCAATCCGTCGGCCGGTAGGTCAATCACTGATACTGGAATCTTTTGAGACTACGCGGTGTCCATGGATTGAGTAGTTCGCAGTAATGGTTATAGTAATTGAATCATGTATTGCTTTTCTGTTTCAGTTTCTATAGAGGAGATCATGACGTTCAGCAGGACACGGAGTTACAAGCGTTTGTGAATGAGCTGTCTGCCCAAGGGACTGGGCCAGATGGAGGGCGTGGCCAGGTAATCAGAGTTGCGTTCGTGGTAGACTGCACGTATGTGCATGTACGCTGCGTTCGAGGTACAATGTATACTCAGTTCAAAGGCACATGTATGTACGCAGGAGAAAGACCTACGACAGTCTCCCGCGTTGATGACCCTTGAATTCATTAAATTGGGTTTTAGTTGTTTTTTTTTTCAAATCAGACCGAACTTTTTCCCCAACGTTTCATTCGCCAGGTCAAGGACCTCCCAGCCGTGTTGCGGACCAAGGAAGAAGTCATTGACGTGGTATCTCGGTTAATATGGCTAATGAGCGTGCGACATTCTGCGGTGAATTATCCAGTGAGCGACTATGGAGCATTCACGCCTGTTCTGCCGACCAAGGTTTACAACGACAGCAGCGTGCCTCCAGGAACATTTTCTGTCTTGAATTTACCAAATGTTGACATATCTCTTGTAAGTAAAACTAATCAATAGATCGATCGATCGATATATTAGTCATTCAGTCAATTAGGTTGATCAATTAGTCTCTTGCTGAGATGTTCTGTCAGTCCGTCAGTCCGTCCGTCCGTCCTTCAGTCAGTCCGTCAGTCAGCCAGTCCGTCCGAATCCGTCCGTTAATTTGTCTGTCTGTCTGTCTGTCAGTCTGTCAGTCACTGGAGGCAGTTCTTTTATGAAGAACTGTGGGCACTTTCGTACTTTCCTGAGGTCAATAGATATCACAGACTCCTATAAAAGGGAATTGGTGCCGCTTACGTCACTTTCGTTTTGCCTCTTAAGCATACGAATTTGCTTTGGGAAGACAAGGTACGAGTCGACTGCGAGCATTAAAAGAATATTCGAGACTTAGAGATTGGTAAAATGTTTAGCTCCCCCTCTCTACTCATTTATGGGTGTAAGCGATTCATATTTCCCTCAGATTTTCACACTATTTAATGTTCCATTTCTCTCCTCCACAGTCGCAGATCGAGGTTGCCATGAACGTCGGAACGTACCATTATGACGAGTTATTTGACTACTTTGAAAAACTGAAGAATCCTTCAGGAAGAAAAGTAGTTAGGTTTTACTATTACTACCTGAAGTACGCCGTTAGTCCAAGGCTCAAGTATAGGAACTACAGGCGATCCAAAGGTGGCCACCTGACCTACCCTTATCTACAGCATTCATGGCTTCCCAACGGCATTCAAACATAACCAAATAGGACATTAAGGCTTTGCACTATTGTTATATCAGATAAATTCCGAATTTAATTCTTTCAGCAGTACTAACTAGTCCAGTTCTGGCGCTCTCATTGTCACGCAACGCTAGGGAGAGAGGGACCCTCTCTCCCTAGCGTTACGTGACAGAGAGAGTGCCAGTACTAACATATTCGACTATACTTTTAAACCGAAGCTGCGTATGCTTTTAAACCAAAGTTCCCTATTTGGCTGGACTGTATCGGATAAATGTTAAATGTTAGATACTGTTAAATTAAACCGAACAATAAAGAAATTACGCATTATTCTGGAATAAACACAATATATTACAAGTAGCTGTATATTTGTATCTTTTTCACTGGGTAACTGATGGAGTAAAAATAAGGGGCTGATTGGCCAGGAACAATCGATGCCATCGATCATCGATCAGTTAAACTTGTCCAGACCACTCGAACGCCAATTCTAAAATCGTAGAAGCAATGACTTCCAAATTTGGCGACTTGTAGTAAAATACATCAGGGAGCAATTGGGTGTGGCCTGTTACTGTTTAAGGGACTTGCTGTTCCCAAGGAAACCATACTTTGACAGGCATGTTTCTCAATTTGTTGTTGTTGTTGTTGTTTTCCTGAAGATTAGTAATGGTGAGAGATGAAAAATTAATTTCTATTACAGTGATAACTGCTCAACACTTGCCGTCTGTAGATTTAACGGCTACTAGAGACGTCACTACACGGAAAATGCGAAACTCGCTGCTAAAAGTGTTAAGGTTGAGTGCGGACTTACAAGTTTCTTTTAAGCCCTCGCATGGCAGTACCAATTTCAATGAGCTTGTGAACAACAGCACGAAGAAATCCCCATGAAATGTTTTCACTCTATTGAACTATTCTCACTAGCAAGATTGTCACAAATCCCTTTTGCTACAAACTTGAAAAGCGGATGTAGAACTGTACGAGACACGCCCGCTCCGTGTAGAAGTTTTTCGGACGAAAAGCAGGGTGGGGCTAAAGCAACATGGCAAGAGGATTAATAATCTTTTAATAAGATTTAAAACAGTGAGACTCAATGGGAGATGAGCAAAGAGTCCCTAAAAGTCACGTTGGGGATTGCGTGACATCCTACATGGGATACTAGGAGTTGAATTATATGACGTGCGCCTTACCGCTGTGGAACCGCATTGCAGCAGTAAATTCAAGATGGCGAACGACGAGGAAGGATCCGGCTATCGTTGGTTAAACCAATATGAAAGAACTTGGTAAGTATTACTACGCGGAACATTGCATAAATAATTTTTAAATTAACTGATTAATTATTTTTGGCGTATTTAAAAGAAATACGCTGTAGCTTATTATAGGTCTTTCAAACATCGACTGCAGAACTGTATGGTGCATAAAACAGTGTAATGATTCTGCAAGAAAGAAGTGACTCTGTTAGCTTTGAAACAGTGTCTTTTATTTATATATTTCCTGCCTGTGTGATAACTAGAAAAGATCACTAAAAAGCTTGTTGACTTCATGGTTATATTCCCCCTTTACCACAGTGGTTGGGATTTTGAGTGGTGGAAAGGAGGGGGTGCGGGTGGGGGGTCAAAACTGGGACCGAAGAATCGAAGAAGGAAAACCACTATTTGTAGAGGCAAATTTTAGGGAAGAGCTATAGCAGCTCTGTGGTAAATTTTGTAATAAATTAATTCTGAAAACTCCATTTTGAAAGCACTTGGCATCCTAAGAGTAACTTAAAGAAATGTGTACTTGCCCTGATTGTTTTTCACATGCCCCAAAACAGGCAGTGACAAAACTCCCACCAGGTCAGCTCTGGGGGTGTTATAAATGAGAATGGCAACCATTCAAGAATGAGACAGAAACAATAGTGGCCATTAATTCTTATTTAACCAAGTTGACCCGGTTTGAGTTACATGCCCCCTTCCTACAATCCTTATGACATTCTTCTTGTATTCATATATTGTGAAGTTTAACTTAAATTTGTTGTTTATCATGTGTGCTAACATCCTGGTGAGTTAATCTGTCTTATTTAGAGGAGCATTTGCTGTGCTTTTTTAACAGTTTTTAATGTCAAAATGACTAGAAATAAAGAGTACTTGACTACATGTATGGGTAAGAGTCAAGTCTGCATACGAGCCAAGTGACCCATCAGACCAGAGCTTATACCGGTTTCAGTAGCATGAAGCAACCCAGGAGTAGTTCTACTCCCCCCTGGATGGGATGCTAGTCCAATTCGCAGGGTTACTCCCCCCAACATTAAATTCGCCGGTGTCCATTTATACACCTGGGTGGAGAGAGGCACTGTGAGAGCGAAGTGTCTTGCCCAAGAACACAAAACAATGTCCCCGGCCAGGGCTTGAACCCATACTTCTCGTTCTGGGGTTGAGCACACTAACCATTGGGCTGCCGCACCTCCCATGTATGGTGCTGTTTTAAATTTTTTGTATTTACATGTATTTGAGGTATCGTTAAATTATGTTGGTTGCTAGGGAGGTTATTCAAGAAGATGCTGAAGGTTCTCTTCAAACTGTGGTTGATGAGATTACACAGAGGACCAAGCGAAGAAGGTGGGTGCATATACATGTGCATGTGTAATAAACTATTTGTTAAGGTGTGTCAGGCACTGGAACCTATAACAAATTTGACAAGGACTGAAGACTAAGCTTTTGGTTAATTGCATAGAATTAAGTGTTGTGAAGTATGGTACAGTACCGTTGAATAACCATTTCTTGGAACATCAATGGATTACACATGATGAAGTTTCTAACTAGTACATATACAGTAACTGCAAAAATTAGTATCAAATAACAATACACTGTTTTGTAAACTACTGCATTTATCATAAATTTCTACAGGCTCATGGGAAGGAGTGGAAACATTCGACTTGGCATGGTAAGTTCATAACACTTCTTTATTGGAGAACTGCTCATACCTGTTGGTTTTGAAGCTCTGAGTAACATCACGCCTAAAAGTATAGACACGTGCACATAGATCCATTGCATAACAATTAAAAAAAAATTTTAAAGCATTTGAAAGGGTTTGTCAGGTATGATTGAGGATTATAACAGTCAGTCAAAATACAACACATGGAACATTCAACTGATGATTAATTTTAAGTATTCAAATTACGGATGGTACCTACTGCAGTGTAAATACAAAGGTTTTTGCACCAGATTAGGACCATGCAGTAAATGTAGATCTTTGCAAAGGCTATTGGAACCCACAAAGAAAAATGGGGATAACCACGCATTTTTGGGGGATAATTAGCCTTGAATCTCAACAAAAATGCTGACATCAGCATTTTTCTGAAAAAAGAAATTTCCTACAAATTACAAATTTCCTTAGAATTCTCCTTTATGTACTGAAATGCAAACACATTTATAAAGATCTTACAACTGCTCGATAAAAGGTAACATAAAAACCATTTTTGGGTTGTTTTTAATGACAAAATCATTGCAAAAGCACTTTTAGCATCTCTGACAGCCTTCCTCTGGTTCAGCTAAAATACAGTCTAAATAGCTGTTCCTTACAACCAGAAACTAATCACATGTTGAGTAGGCTTGCCACTTCCATTTCATAACATGAAATGTAGGCGTAACCACGCATTTTTTAAAGTTATTCATCTTTTCTGAAAACTTTTACAGTGCCCATTACATTTTTGCTGTCACCTCCCCAGTAAGTAAAACATTTGCGTCTCTTGCACTTGTTTTGCACACGCACTATGCTATCTGCAGGTACATGTTTACAGTTGGATTTCAGTATAATTTTTGACAGGTAACAGCTAGTTTTTCAGCTGGAAGCCGTTAACGGTTAGTGGTCAGCAATATGCTGTTATTCTTTTTCTATTCTAGTTGATTATGTCAATGCCAACTCTAGCACGCACATGGAGTGTAAAGCATACCTTACATAATGCAGAGAACGTGTGCGCACTAACAATAGTAGGCACCATCCTTAATGGGAAAACAGACATTGTTTGCTGCATTTCAGATGCGACATGTGTTTGTTGTTGTGGATATGTCTCGAGCTATGGAAGAAGCTGATTTAAAACCTTCACGTCTTGCTTGTTCTGTCAAGGTACAGTATATATCACCATAATAGTAGAATTCTACTTGAATACTAATTTTAATGCTGCTGCAATCTGTTGGTTGAGCCATCACACATTATCAGCCATCAAACACTAAACTTTAAAAGCTCAGAATTGTTGAATGAACAATGTGAGTATGAGTACACAGCTACCAGGGGCAGATCTAGAGGGAGGGTGCAGGG